CCCCTAACACACACACACACACAAAAAAACCCCCACACACAATGATATCACTCACACACACTGGCTTTCTTTTTTGTAAAAAAAAATGCAATTTCTGCAAAAAAGAAATCCAAATGAAATTTGAAAAAAAAAAGATCAGATGGTCCTTTGGAAAAAAAATGTAAATTTCAAGCCAAAAAAAATAAAGAAAGCACAAAAAAAGCCTCCAGACTCCCTCCCCCCCCCCCCCTCCCCACTCCCCCTGACCACCTCCCCCCAAAAAAAAAATTTTTTTTTAAAAAAAATGTTAAATCAATTCAAAATAATTTGCCAATTGCTGCAAACGTTATGCCTGAGCTAAAGGGAGTGTGTGATGCCTTTGCCTAACGTTGCTTTGCTGCGATGGGTTTTATTGCTGGTGTTGAGTGTTGCTGTCCTGGAATAACACTGTCACTCAGTCACTCATCAGTCACTGCTCTGCTCTCTCTCTTTCTCTCTCTCTCTTTCTCTCTCTCCTCTCTCTCTTCTCTCTCTCTCTCTCTGGGTCACGCCATTCATCTGGTGGCTGCTGGAGCCAATCACTGCTGTGACTAAGCCAACGAGCAAGAGGGAGGAGGAAGCTTGAGGGGGAGCCCACAAACAGCAACAAGAGAGCAAAGACACACCACACACACACACAGAGAGAGAGAGAGAGAAGCAAATCTCAGCATAATCCTAACCGTCCTTGCGGTTTCGAGACGGCGCCCCGTCGCCCCGTCTCGCCCGCGGGAACACGCCGCTCGATTCGCTTCGCGGTCGTGTTCTGCCAAGCGCTTCGGGACGTCTCTGCGACGCGGCGAGGCGCTCGTGCCGAACGCCAGCGAAGACTGCTGTTTGTTGTTATTCGAGACGTTTCCCCTCCCCTCCCCTCTCGACTCTCTACCCCCTCCTCGCTCCCTCCCTTCCCTCCCCTCACCCTGACCATTTCCCCCCCCAATGCTCGGGTCCTGACCCAACTGTACAGCGCCTTGGGACGTCCTCCCGACGTGAAAGGCGCTCAATAAATGGAATCTTGTTGTTGTTGTTGTTGTTGTTTCAAAGCACTTCGCACTTCATAATGTACTGTAAAGCATAGCGACTGTAGTATTAATAATAATAGTAATAATCTGCGATTAATGTGGAAGCGGGTTTGATAGTAACGTTCTAAAGGGAATTGGATAGGTATCTTTGAAAGGAAAATATTCGCAGGGCTATGAGGTAAGAGCGGGGGAGTAGGACTAGTTGACAGTTCTTTCAAAGAGCTGGCAAAGGCACGATGGGCTGCATAGCCTCCTTCTGTGCCGTAAGTCTCCAGATAGCACCTTATCATGTCATTGAGACGTCTCAAAGCGCTCCACACAATATACTGTAAAGTGGATGGTTTGACTGTGTATTTTGTGGGCGAAACGTGGTAGGCAATTCATGCGGTAGCGTCCCACAAACAGTCATGGATTGAGTGACCAAATTATTATTATTTATTGATTGATTCCAGGGGATTATTACCCCTGGAAAAGTGATCCGCCAATCGACTAACAACCGGGTTCCAGTTATTGCTAGATAAACAGAGGCGTGTGGAGTGAGGAAACTTGCCCGATGTTTAGCCCTGCCGGGAATGAAACCCAGGTCTCTCGCTTGCGAGGCGAGTGCTCTTACCACTGAGCTACAGAACTACACTTAAGGAAAATAGGGAAATTGGGGGGAGAATATAGTTGAAGGCACAGTCAATGAGGTAAGTCTTCAGATGGATTTGGAAGCAGAAGGGGAGGCGCAACTCAGACACATTTCAGAAAAATTCCATAGAGTGGTTTTGCCCCATCTGGGAGTTGAACCCGGGTCCTCTCGCTTGCGAGGCACGTGCTCTAACCGATACGCTACAAGACTCCATAATTGCTCCTCACGTGTCTGCTTTGCCAAGAATCATATCATTCCCCATCCCCTTCCTCTACACTTTAAATGTTTTTACATTGATTTTTTTTTACAAAAAAATCTCATGCATTTTGTATGAGTTTTCAGTCACTGCTTTTATGCGCCTCCTTCTCTTTCATCACTTTAAAGCTTCTCCTTTCGCTTTTCCCCAAGCAAGGCTCGGTAGAAAAAGCCGAGTGAAATTGAGGCTTCCGAATAGATAACCAAAAAAAGAGTCCCTCATCTGCCCCGGGTTAACCGATCAAGGGCAACAACAACAACAAAGTTACATTTGTATTACGCTTTTCACGTCGGGAGGACGTCCCAAGGCGCTGGACAATCAGTGTTTCCGGAGGGTGGAGATCGGTGGGGGGGGAAAGAGGTTGATTGAAGGCACGATCGAAGAGGAAGGTCTTGAGACGGATCTTGAAGGTGGCAAGGGAGGGAGTGAGGTGGAGGGATGTGAAGCAGGCTGGGGCCCTCTGAGCATAAGGAGCGAGCATGATGGTAGGGGGTTAGGAGGTCACAGAGGTAGGGGGGAGCAAGGCAAGGAGGACCAGGATTTTGAACTGTATCCTCTGTGTGATGGGAAGCCAGTGGAGTCAGGCGAGGATGGGGGTGATAGGGTCACGGAGCCTGGTGCGGGAGAGGACAGGGGCTACAGAGTTCTGGATGATCTGCAGCCTATGGAGGGAGGAGCTGGGGAGGCCGACAAGCAAGGGGTTTGCAGAGTCAAGCTTCAATGTAATGAAAGCACGTACGAGGGTTTCGGCGGCCTGCGGTGTGAGACGGGCAATGTTGTGGAGTTGGGTGAAGGCAGAGTGGGTCATGGTACAGATGTGGGGTAGAAAGGATAGTTGAGGGTCAAACAAATCTCCCAAGTTCCAGACTGTCTCAGCAAGGTTGAGTATGCAACCATAGATGGTGATGCTGTTATCGCCTGAGGTGAGGAGGCACTAACAGGAGCGAATCAGGAGAGCCTCGGCCTTGTTGACGTTCAACTGAAGAAAGTTAGCTCTCATCCAGGAATTGATGTCCAACAGACATTCTGTCAGGACAGCAGTGGTCCTGGAGTCAAGGGCAGAGGCAGAGAGGTAGAGTTGGGTGTCATCCGCATACATGTGGAAGTTGACCCCATGTCTGTGGATGATGTCACCAAGAGGGAGCATATAGATATTGAAGAGGAGGGGATCCAAGGACAGAGCCCTGAGGAACGCCGCACGAGACGGTGGCTTAGAGGAGAAACTGTTTGTGGAGTGGTAGAAGAGCAATAGTAGAATCATACAATTTGCACTTACGTAGTGCATTTCACTCAAAATGAACGTCTCAAAGTGTTTTGCGGAGCCAATGGGAATTTCTGAGCAGCGTGGGAAGAAGAGTCAGGGAGTTCGAGGATGTTGACCAAAGATAATACTAATAATAATCCTTGCATTTGATATAGTGCCTTATCACGACTTCGAGACATATCAAAGAGCTTCACATAATATACTGTAAAGCGAATTGACTGTATATTTTCGGTTGCCACGTTTCACCCACAAATATACAGTCAATTCACTTTACAGTATATTCTGTGAAGCGCTTTGAGACGTGAAAAGCGCTATATCAAATGCAAGGATTATTATTATTATTATTATTAAGATATTTTGTGAAGTGAACTGTAGCGCTGAGGGTTTGTTGCATTGTCGGAGGTGCTGTCCTTAGGGTGAGACATTAAACTGAACTTCCTGTTCAACTGTATGTTAACGATCCTATGGCACCACTTGAAAAGAGAAGGGAGTTTCTCCCGATGTCCTGCCCAACCCCCACAAATAAAATTGATCATTCATTTCATGGTTGTGGGACATTGCTGTGTGCAATTGGGCTGCCAACAAATACAGTCACCCCACTTCACAGTAAACTTCACATGTGAAGTGTTTTGGGACATCTTCCTGACGTGCAAGTCTATACCAGATTTTTTTATATACAGGGTGACTCAAAAGTCCTTACTCATTGGCCTATGTGAGATGTTCAACTGCACATCATGTAGAAATTTACACATATCAATTCGGGGACAAAAACATTCACGTATGTAATGAAAGACAGACAGCTCCTGTAATATCTGCACACTCTCTACGAATGTTGTCTTGAAAAGCATAATTAATAATTAAAAACCATATAACAATTGTTGCATTTAGTATAATGCCTTATCATGTCTTCTAGACGTCTCAAAACGCTTCACAGAATATACTGTAAAGTGAATTGATTGTGTATTTTGTGGGCGAAATGCAGCAGGCAATTGCAGTGTCCCACAAAGAGTTGTGGATTGAGTGACCAAATTATTATTTTTTTTTGTAGGGATTATTCTCCCTTGAAAGCAATATGCCAATCGTCTAACAACCTGTTTCCTCCTTACTGCTCGGTAAACAGAGGTGTGTGGTGGTTAAGATTTCGCCTCACTCATCTTTAACCAATTGAAAATATTTGTAGGGACTCTTCTGGTTCATCCTGTATAACACCTTACAGTAACTTATTATGTTGAAACATAAATTTACTTAGAACATTAAAGCAGAGAAATGGGCCATTCAAACCAATTCTGTTTATACTCCACAATGAGCCTCTTCCCCTCCTATTCCCCTCTCCCATACTCCTCTATTCCCTTCTCCCTTATGTATGTATCAATGGAGTCCTGTAGCTCAGTGGTTAGAGCGCTCGCCTTGCAAGCGAGAGACCTGGGTTTGATTCCCGGCAGGGCGAAACACTGGGCAAGTTGCCTTACTCCACACACCTAATAATAATCCCTCAAGAAAAAAAACAATAATAAATTGGTCGCTTCAATCCATGACTGTTTATGGGACACTGTTGTGCGCCATTGGCTGCCGCATTTTGCCCACAAATACACAGTCAATTCACTTTACAGTATATTCTGTGAAGCACTTTGAGACGTCTGGAAGATGTGAAAAGCACTATATCAAATGCAAGGATTTTTATTATTATTAAATACATTGATACCACTTGCATTTGATATAGGGCCTTATATTGTTGGGACATCTCAAAGTGCTTCACAGGATATACAGTCAAGTGTAATGACTGTGCAACTTTTTGCAATCTTCATCATTCAC